AAAACACCAAATAAAAACAAGAACCAAATCTTTTTCAAGAAAATCATTAAAGAAAAATGAAAGCGTGAAGAGCCCAATAAGAAAGTAGACTTGTGCAAAATGGAGGATAAATTGAAATACTCTACACTCACTCCTTTCTTTGGTATTTACCAAAATCTGCAGACCACTGACTTCTGTCCACTGTCCGGAGAAAACTCTGTGCTATTACTCCTGGAGACAGACATGATCCTTGTCCAGGACTTCAAAGCCCCCAACCACATGGCCAATGGAATGAATGAGAAAGCACTCTGATTCACATATCAGCACTTGTGAACAAAAATGAACTGGAACAACAACAACAACACCCATGAAAATATTTCTCTGGTCAATTTCTAGAATAATCAGTTATTGAAAATTCCAAAGGAGGAAACTAAAAGAATACTGCTCATAGAAAATCACACATGTCAAACTTAGGAAAAGTCAGCAAAATGGGAGAGTGGCCATCCACGGGGCAAGAGAGGCTTGAGTCAGGTAGAGTTTCAATCACCTGGATACTCTCATCTATTGCCCAAGGCCTAGTGATGAAACTTGCTGAGTATCCCCAGGATATAGCATCCCCGCAAATCTGCAATTTGGAGTTCATAGTGTCAGTTGTTTGCAGACTTCTCCTGAGAACCTAACTAATAATTGCTCGTAGAAATCCCTCCAGCTTTGCAGAAAAATATCCTCTGCAATTGTTTTTTTGGTGGGAGGTCTGCAAGTAGCCAATCCAAGAGGGTTAGTCAGTTCTCCTTGCTGCTGATTGGCTGATGCTGTGTAACCCATATCTGGCAGATGCACCAGCATTCCCGCAACATAACAGGGTGCTGTACCATATGGAGCTATCTCCAGTGTTCTCGGTTTTGTTCTTGAAGCCCTAAGATCCCTAGGACACCATCAAAATGCCTGCAACTTTTAACACTTTTTAATAGAGTATTTTATTAAATTAAATTACATAACTGTGGGAAACAATGCATTTTTAGGAAATGAACTATAAAAATAGGCACTTATAGGCATTTTTCTGACCATATCTGAAATTTGCAATTTTTCACAATTTGCAGATGCTCTAGGAAGATAATTCTTGTGAATTTCTGGGGCCCCTTGTATTTACACTGCTGTTATTGCTAAACCTCACAAACAATTCTAAACACAGAATATATTGTTACTTCAGTAACAAATTACCGTTAAGAAATTACACATTAATTTATATGTTTGCTCAGATTCATATTTGAAAACATGAGATACCATTCTTGGTACACATTGGGTACCAAGAAGCAAAGTAGCATGGTTGCAAACAGGAGAAGCACAGACCCAGTAAGCAGTGGTCAAACGCGACACTGTCCATCAGGAAAACAGGTTAGACTGTCAAGAGACAGAGAAAACATCTAGCAGAGTGATCTCTGGGTTATGGGGCCAGACTATGTCCACCTGGACAGAAGAGGTTGTTTGCTTGACATCTATGAGTATATATTACATAGAAAGGGATGCAAAAACACACACTAGTCTACCACTGATTCGACAAAATCTGCATGATGCATTAATTTGACCTCATTCAATTTGTACCTTAAATAATTACAGCGA